GTTCACATAGGTTGGGTTACCCCCATGGAAACTTACGTGGGTCTCATACCCATCCTCGATGCATTTTCTATCACAATCCATGATAGCCCTTTCACAAAAGGGTCTACCAGATTTTTAGCCGTCTGGATATAATCCAACGCTATCACTCAGAAGTTTCTTGATTTTCTGACAAATTTTAGTCTTCTTCTTATGTGCTTTGTGGATTTCATATTGTCTTGAACTCTTAGCCTTGGCAATCACCGTTTGATTGTCATAGTTCATAAGGACAACCGGGACTGGTTTATCAACCACCGGCAAATCCATCAAAAGCTCACAAAACCATTCTACTTAGACTCATGATGTGTCTAATGCTGTGAGTTCTGCTTCCATAGTCAATCTCGTTAAGATCGTCTGCTTGCAAGACTTCCAGGAAACAGCACCACCACCAAGTGTGAAGACATGTCCACTTGTGGCTTTCATATCATCAGCATCAAATATCCAATTCAAATCACTATACCCCTCAAGTACTGTCGGCTACCCAGAATAGTGAATTCCTTTGTTCACGGTACCTTGCAAATAGCGCATCACTCGCTCAACATCATGCCAATGCGCATATCCCGAATTGGAAACAAACCTGCTCAGTTTGCCCACAACAAATGAGATGTCAGGACAAGTAGCACAGGCTAGGTACATCAGTGAACCAACCACTTGAGAATATCTCAATTGATCTACAGTCGTGCCTTCGAACTTTCGAATCCGCACGCTAGGATCAGATGGTGTTGCAGAAGGTTTGCAGTCCGAATATCCAAAACGGCTCAAAATCTTCTCAAGATAGTGGGAATACAAAAGTGTAATTTCACCCTCAGTATTTCTCAGCAGCTTGATGTTCAAGATAACATCAGCCACGCCAGGTCTTTCATCTCAAAGTTATGAGATAGAAAAGCCTTGACCTCCTCAATGACTTTGAGGTGGGTCCCAAATATCAGTATGTCATCGACATATAGACACAGTATAACTCCTTCGCCCCCACCATAGCGATAGTATACATATTTTTCAGCTTCGTTAATAACAAAGCCAGCAGATGTCAGAGTAGTGTTGAAATTCTCATGCCATTGCTTAGGCGCTTGTTTCAGGCCATACAAAGATTTCACTAGCTTGCACACCTTTCTTTCCTGGCCATTTACTACAAAGCCATCTGGCTGTTGCATGTAAATTTCCTCATCTAACTCTTCTTTGAGGAAATTCATCTTAATGTCCATCTGATGAACGAGAAGACCATGCGAGGCAGCCAATACGAGTAACACTCGAATGGTTGCCAGTCTAGCCACAGGTGAGTAAGTACCAAAGAAATCCTCTTCTTCTTTTTGGGTATAACCCTTGGCCACAAGCCTAGCCTTGTACTTCTCAATAGTACCATCGGTCCTAAGCTTCCTCTTGAACACCCACTTACGGCCCAATGGTTTACAACCATAGGGACGATCAGTGATCTCCCATGTCCTGTTTGCCAAGATGGAATCCATCTCGCTATGGACTGCATCCTTCCAGTAGTCAGCATCCGAAGATGCATAAGCTTCTAAAATGGAACTGGGAGTGTCGTCATCCACGAGGTACATGAGGAAATCATCACCAAAAGACTTTGTAGTCCTTTGTCTCTTGCTCCTAACAGGTGCTTAATCGTCATCCTCTGATGAACTTTCATCACTTTTGTGTTCATAATATTCCATCGGAATGGTAGGTTCAGGAGTCTCATTAGATTCCAGTCTAGAAGTGTTTTGCATATCTCTCATGGGGAAAATATCCTCAAAGAATGTAGCATCCTTAGACTCTATAATTGTACTGACCTTCTGGTCAGGTACCTCGGATTTCACTACTAGAAATCTATAGCCAACACTATTCTTAGCGTAGCCCAAATTAACGCAGTCCACGGTCTTTGGTCCAAGCTTACGCTTTTTGGGGATCGGCACATTGACCTTCGCCAAAAAGCCCCAAGTGCGCAAGTAAGAGAGTGTAGTTCTTTTATTTTCCCATTGCTCATAGGGAGTAGTCTCATTATCCTTCACGGGAACTTTATTCAGGACATGACATGATGTCAATACAGCCTCCCCCCACCATGCCTTGGATAAACCCGATGTATCTAAGATGGCATTAGCCAAATCTGTTAGAGTACGGTTTTTCGTTTGGCAACCCCGTTTAACTGGGGTGAATAGGGAGGTGTCCTCTCATGAATAATACCATGTTCCGCACAGAATAAATTGAACTCACTAGAAAATTACTCTCCACCACGATCAGACTGGACTCGTTTTATTTTCTTCTCAAGTTGGTTCTCAACTTCAACCTTATAGATTTTAAAGTAGTGTAGAGCCTCATCCTTTGTATTTAACAAATACACATAACAGATCTAGTGGAATCATCAATCAAAATCACGAAGTATTTCTTTCCACCTTTATTCAACACACCATTCATCTCACAGAGATCTGAATGCATGAGCTCTAGTGGTGCCAGGTGTCTCTCCTTCGCAGGATTGTGAGGCTTACGAGGTTGCTTTGCTTGCACACACGCATGGCACTTAGAGCCTTTGGCTAAAGTGAAACTCGGGAATAGATTCATCTTAGCTAGCCGCATCACACAACCAAAATTTATGTGACAAAGATGTGAATGCCAAACCTCACATTCGTTCACATTGGAATGAATTTGGTTCACGACTTTATTACAGAAATCCTCCATGTAAAGGCGGAACAAACCACCACAATCATATCTTTTTCCAACAAATAGTCCATAACGAGATACGACTACTTTGTTAGACTCAAATACTCACTTAAACCCTTCTTTACATAGGAGGGAACCACTAACGAGATTCTTCTTGATGGCGGGGACATGCTGTACATTCTTCAGTTGCACGGTCTTTTCCGAAGTAAACTTCAGATCTACCGTGCCAACACCATGAACAGAAGCATGCGAGCCGTTCCCCATCAGGACGGAACAATCTCGTGTGACCTGGTAAGAAGAAAACAAAGACACATCAGCACACACATGAATATTGGCCCCAGTGTCAACCCACCAATCGGTGGATTGAAAAACTAAAAGTACGGTAAAAAGATTACCGTACCCAGATGCCCCATCATGGTTGCTCAGAGTGACATTGACAGACTTGGCATCCTGTCCTAGCTTCTTATGCTTGTTTGGCCACTTGTTTGCCCAATGTTCCTCTAAACCACAAGTGAAGCAGCCATCTCTCTTCTTATCTTTCTTCTTACCCTTCTTCTTGAAGGTAGTATTCTGTTGGACAAAGTTCTTTCCCTTGAACTTGTGGAAGTTCTTCTAGACCACATTGGCACTAGAAGAACCCTCTGCCCCTTTCACATGTGAGTCATCTGCTCTCGAGTTCTATTCAACTCTTAGATGACCGATGACATCCTCAATAGAGAATTCACGTCTCAAGTGCTTGAGAGAAGTAGCAAAGTTCCTCCATCTAGGAGGGAGTTTTGCAATAATGCAACCCGCAACAAACTTGTCTGGTAACTCACACTTCAGGAGCTCCAGCTCCTTAGCGATGCATTGTATCTCATGGGCCTGGTCCAATACAGAACGGTTATCAACCATTTTGTCCGCTCATTCCCGCAACCCGCGGTGCGCGCGCGTCGTGTCGTGGCGTGGAGTGGCATGCGGAGGAGGAGGAGGAGGAGGAGGAGGTGTGTACAGCTCCTATTCCCAAGCTACCAATAGCAAGTGATGGAGCAACCCTTATAAAGAGGTCTCACTCTTCTTAATGTAGCAGTATGGTACTAGACTTCCCATATTTCCCACCACTTGTCGTACACGTGCATGGGCCTTAGAGATTAACCAGGGATTATTGTCTTATATGGGCCTAAGCCCATCCATAATCCAACAAAACGTTGTAGTTCTGTTGGGCTGTTCGCTGTAGACTATAACCATGCTTTGCAGTTTTGTTGGGCTGTTCGCTGTAGGCCGTAACCATGCTTTGCATGCATACACAGGCCTTCACTTTTGACCCATGTTGCTGGTGTATTGTATGCTATGAGCAGGTTTCTTATGCAACCAGCTACAAAATGAAATAAAACAGACTCTAGTGTCATCGCCAACGAAGCCACATACATCATGCGGCCCTGTAGGCTTTGCTCAATGGCGACACCGACCGCAGCTCACTACCATTGAGGAAGCCAGAGTACCAGCGGGCAGAGTTCCTTGCGTACCTCTTCCTCCCCGCCGTGTTCATATCGACACCGCACAACCCGAAGTGCATGCGGTTGCCGAATAGGAACTCGAACACATCAACGAACGACCACACAAAGTATCCCTGCACATTTGATCCCTTCTTGCAACCAGTAAATAGCTCTCTCGGAAGCTAATCGAGATCAAGAATGACATGATCCCAAGTCAATTCTTTCTCTGTTCCTCGAACCCAAGAGTTTCATCTTAATTCATACGCTATTCTTTTACTACTTGGGTATGGCACTGGTTGGCATTTATGTATAGGAAGATCAACTCTGAAAATTGACATATGAGAATGGGTGCAATGGAGCACTTTATTTTGAAGTTCAAAAAACCAGATTTTTATGACTAAAGAATTTCAAATTTTTGTGTGCATGAACGTATAGCAATGCAGTATATCGGGCCAAAATTTCACTAATATACATGCTTACATGTAAAAGATAAAAAAAATACAAAATACATGAAAATTAGGGGCTTGTTTTTTGTTGTTTTTCGGCCGAAATTTTGTCTTTTTTGTGCAGCATGTAATACAATGTATTATTGAACGAAATTTTATAGGTATTTTAGACCACATGCATGCGTATTCATGTAAAAAAAATTGTTTTTCAGATCTTCTAAGCACCTTTTGGAGCAGTTCAAAATAAAGTCCTCCATTGCCCCCATGTTCTGAAAATCCGTTTTAGATGAACTCACCTTATGGACAGGTAGAGAACTTCCAAGTAATTTTGCAGAATCTTTGATCTGTTATCGTCATCGTATTCGATCTTGCCTGAGGTTTTGGGGGAGTCTCTCTATCGTGAATCGTCAAGCAAAAGATCCTTCATTTCTTTGATTTTGTTGTACAGAGGTCAGCATGTTTCGTTTTTCAGTTCACATGACACTGGCAAGTATTCAGTGTCGGCTCATCTCCAGAAAACAGGGCAATATATGCACCAAGCAAGATTGTTTTTTAATTTTAGTTTTCCTACCACTTTCATGGATAATGATTGCAGGGTTTCCATACTTGAGTTTTACGTGCTCCAACTGCTCCCCTAGAGCCCAAGGAGCATACTCATTCTGGCCCTGCACATGTTACATCAATAAAATTACATCTTAGGATTGAGAATGAGATGAAGGAAAAAATTACCGTAACACAGCTGATGTGTGCTGTGATTGCTGAAGAGATACTTTGCTTTGGTGTTTACCTCTAGGATGTATTTCGTTGGATCTGAATCAAGCAAGAAAGGTTTGCACAGTATAAGTAAGGCCGAATGGCATTGTATGAGTAGAGTAGCCTTATAATTAGCAGCTGCTTAGTTTAGTTACTTGCAACTCCTCTGTCGGCGAAGTAGTCCCTCTGCTTCAGATTGAAGGCGGTCCCGTCGGCCACCATGGGAAAAATAGCATAGTGGTTCAAGCCGATGAAGTCGAATGACCTGGAGAGTTTCTTCGACTGCTCCACCGTCACATTCGGCAACCGTGCACCAACCCTTATTTTCATTACCGGTGGGTAGTCCCGATACACCAAAGGATGCATGAACCTATCCAAAGAGAGCACGAGCTCTTACTATCTCTCTCTGCAAATTAATGATAAAAATTGTGCTTTGAAGTCCATGTTGGTAACAACTTTCAAGGAACTAGAGTCGGTACTAGCTACTAGCACTAACCATCCAATGTGAAAGTCATTCATCCTTATTGCAGCAACAACATCCTGGGATGCATTGGTAGCAAGAGCATACCACCCGGTCAAGATAGTAATTCCTATATGCCCCTTTTGACTTGCCTACACACGAGCATTGCATTGCATGGTCATGATAAATTGATAATCATTGGTGTCAACTACTATCATATAATAGGGAAGATACTGATATGACATACTTGGTACTTGTTTCTATACAGGGACACCGTCGACGCATGTGCTAGGAGGAGGTGGTGAGCAGCTATATACGGCTCCGTCATGGAGTTCCCTCCGGTACAGTTTCTGCCGAAAGGATGAGAACAACACTGCGGTGGCCAAGTGCCGCTGTCAAAGCCACCTAGAGTTTCGACATTGGGCTTGTTAATGGTGACCCAGTGCTTCACCCTGTCCCCAAAGCTTTTTTTTTGAGGAATCACCGGGGGAGAGGATCCCCACCTGTATGTATATTACTCAAAAGCCAGCAAGGGCCAAGCAAGATTACAGGGTCACGGGAAGCCGTGAGGTAAGGAAAAGCAGCCATGAGTTGGTTGTTGCCTTGTCAGCTGGGTCGCGGAATCTGTTCAGGCAGACCTCAAAGGCATTACAGATATTCCTAATAGTGACTAGGGGAGAGTGAACTTCATTAGGGAATACAACAGCGTTTATAGAGTCCCAAATTTTCCACAAGACCATGAGAAGAACTTCAGGCCACATATGGCCATCCAGGGCATCAGGAGGTTGGAGCAGCCAAAGGTCTTGAGACTTGGTAGTGGGAGTTAATCCCAGCCTTTCCCAAGTCCGAGTCGCATGCGGACAACCAAGGAATAGGTGGGAGGTGTCCTCGGAGGGGCTGCTACAGCGTGGACAGGCAGCGTCGATGGAGATCATCTTGTGGAACAGGTTGCACTTGGTATTGAGGTGCCCTCTGAATAGGCGCCAGACGAAGATTTTGAGCTTGTGGGGGGCTCTAGACCTCCAAATCTTTTGAAGCAGGTGTCCACGTACATGGTATAATCGTCTCTGGACATATGGCAACATATTCAGATTAAGAGCGAAGAGGGTCTAAAAAAGTTTGAACCTTAAATTCTTCATTCTGGAGTTACATGAATCTGGGGCTGAGCAGCCCGTTGTACTCATCCTGAAGGGACTGAGGGAGATCGAAATGGTAGATGGTGACATGAGGTTGTATGCCTGCAGAGCATGTTTCAGTCAGTGATGCTTAATCAAGATCGAGCAAAGGCTATTAAGTGCAGGTAGAGAAATTGGTCTTTACCATGTTGTATCAGTTCATCTATCAAGTTGTTGTAGTACTCCAAGCCCTTCAGATTCATTTCTCCTCTTCCATCTACACAGTTCAGTGTCAGTCACAGTTCAGAGGCGTACTACTACACTGACTACTCTATCTATGTGTCCTAAGTACCTGGGATAAGCCACGGCCATGAGATGGAGAATCTGTACGCATCTAGACCCAGGTCCTGCATAAACTTCACATCATCCTAATGTGAGAAGAGAAATTAAATTTGTTCAGTTTTTTGATAGAAAAATTTGTTTAGTTAGTTAACATGCATGTGCCTCATCCCACTTTGTTTTGTTTTAAAAAACCCCATTTCTTTTGTAAGCAGAGTAATTCGTGCTAGCTGTTGACACTAACTTTGTAATGATGATACTGATCCGCTGCAACATCCTCGGTACACTTGTCGGCAGAATAACCTGTCATCATCAGCACATTACAATTTTCAAAAATTAACAAGATATGTTTTCCGGATGTTTAAATGTCTTATGGATGAATAGCGTTGATAAGAAGAATTACTCCATCTTCTGTAGATATATGATAAAAATATGGTAATCTGAATTGACCTTGATGAGTGAAGGTGTCCCAGATGCTAGGTTTCCTTCCATCTTCTGTAGCCGCCACTTCCACCTAATTAAGGTATGCTCACTTGGCTTCATGCAACAAATGTATAGGGAGGGAGAGGCGGTACCTCGTAGGCCGAGGTGCCTGCGCCGAAGATAAACCCGTCAGGGAAGTCACGGCAGGTGAGCACGGTGGCATCTTCGGGCGGGGCAGTGACTAGGAGGAGGAGCAGAAACAAGAGTACCGGTGCCTAATCACTGGCAACTGATCCATGGTATAGAAGTGCATGCTCTAGCCAATGCAATCAAAATATTGATCTGATGGAAGAGACTAGGCAGCACATTATACATCAACACCCCCCCCCCCTCACGTGTGGCTTCCTCAGGCCTAAATATGGACCGAAAGTGGGCTGCAATTTAATTGTGTCAGACGGGTCTTGAACTCAAGACCTCTTGGCTCTGATACCATGTAGAAGTGCATGCTCTAGCCAATGCAACCAAAAGACCGATCTGATGGAAGAGACTAGGCAACACATTATACGTCAACACACGACACCGCGAACTCCTAGGTACTAGTAGGGAAATAACCAACCATATGGTCCCCATCTCTCCACGTCAAGTGCAACAGTCCCTCTTGGGTAGGTACTAGGTAGTTCACACCCATCGAGATCGACGTGTTGGCATTGCTTTTGCAAAAGGTTAAAGAATTACTACTGATTTTCCATCACGAAAATCTGGAGCAAAAACAACAACGAACGGAAGAAATCAGACATCGGTACACATAGTAGCAAATTCTGAAGACTCCGTACTGCGAGCAGAGATAAGCGGCACAACATGAAAGGAAAGAGGACGGCTTTAAAGAAGGCGATGACACAGGCGATGTCATTGCCAGGGTGCACATGTGAAAGGATCGATATAGTTGACTAGAGGGGGGTGAATAGGCAACTAACAATTTTTATCTTTTCTATACCAATTTAAACTTTGCATCAAACTAGGTTGTCTAGATATGCAACTAGGTGAGCAACCTATATGATGCAACAACAATAAGTACACAAGCAAGCAAGGGATGTGACACAAGATAAGCTTGCACGAGTAAAGGGATGAGATAACCAAGAGTGGAGCCGGTGAAGACGAGGATGTGTTACCGAAGTTCCTTCCCATTGAGAGGAAGTACGTCTCCGTTGGAGCGGTGTGGAGGCACAGTGCTCCCCAAGAAGCCACTAGGGCCACCGTATTCTCCTCACGCCCTCACACAATCCGAGATGCCGTGATTGAAGGAGGCGACCGAACCTTTACAAACAAGGTTGGGGCAATCCCCACAACTTAATTGGAGGCTCCCAACAACACCACAAAGCTTCACCACAATGAAGTATGGCTCCACGATGACCTCAACCATCTAGGGTGCTCAAACACCCACAAGTAACAAGATCCGCGAGGGATTAATGGGGGGGATCAAATTTCTCTTGGTGGATGTGTAGATTGAGGCCTTCCCAACCAATCCCAAGGAGATCAACAAGTTTGATTGGCTAGCGAGAGAGATCGGGCGGAAATGGAGCTTAGAGCAACAATGGAGCTTGGGGTGGAAGAGGTAAGTCAACTCGGAGAAGAAGACTCCCCTTTTATAGTGGAGGAACAAATCCAACCGTTATCCACCAACTCAGCCTGCGACGCATGGTACTACCGCACTGGAGATGCGGTACTACCGTCAGGGCCCACGGTACTATTGCGAGGCACTGCGGTACTGCCGCCCACGCAGCAGTATTCAAAACAGCCCTGATGCGTTGAAGCAGAGGGCGGTAGAACCGCTGGTGCGGTACAACTGCTCCCCCTTGCGGTACTACCGCAAGGCAGGGATAGTCTAGATTGGGAAGGCATGGACATATAAAAATACATCTGTGGCAACTTCCGCTGAGTTTAGATCTATGCAAAAATCCGACATAGTAGTACCGCAAGCCAGGAGCGGTACTACCGCGTAGGGTGCGGATGTAAAAAAATTGCATCCGCCCCTTCTTCCGCTCGTGCTGCTGAGCCATACCTGAGGCCATGGTACTACCGCAACCGAGAAGCAGTACTACCGTGAGCACTTGCGGTACTATCGCGCCCAAGGCCGGTACTACCGCAGGGGCCTGCGGTACCACCGCATGCCCCAGTTCAGCAACACTAGAAGTCTTTCCTTTTGTAGAGATACGGAGAAACAAAGATGCTCCAAAGAGCCAAAGGAAAGGTGGTGCAAAAGGAACAGACGTGTATGTGTTTATTCCACCCAAAACTTTCCAACGTGGACCCCCTCTTAATAGTATGGCTTTCCTACGACTCAAATCCACCGAAAAGAAACATAGAGAAACGTCGTCTTCTATAGTCTTCGAGGGGCACCAAATCGTCTTGTGCCTAGACATGATATATCTGAAATGCTCAATGCACACGATTAGTCCGCAAAAGCATTGTCATCAATCACCAAAACTACTAAGGGATAAATATGCCCTTACAATCTCCCCCTTTTTGGTGGATTGATAACAATATGGGATTTGCACATAAAGTAAAGCATAGGCAAACCCAACATCTATAAAATATAGACGGGCTCCCCCTACATGTGTGCACTCTGGAGATGTGCTTTGGACTGCACGGCACACATACTAGGATCAACACTCCCCCTATATTTTATAGACGAGGCAAATCTTGCAATGGAGTAACTAATACTAATAGAGAGGCAAGATAATACATAAGAGCATAAGTTAACTAGCACAAGATAGCATAAGCTCATAGGCTACTAAGCAGGAAAGATAATAAGATACGATAGAGTGCATGGGAACACGACTCACGACAAACCAAACCAAAGCAAATGAGGTCCAACAGAACGAAAGCAAACACGACACAAGCAAACATGACACACAACTCGCAAATCCCTACACTCTCTCCCCCTTTGGCATCAAAACACCAAAAAGGCAGAGAGGACACCTATGACACAGGTGGTAGCTCAAGCTGGAGCAATCACTCGTCACGGTCCTCGTTGGCCTCGGCAGCGGGGATGGTCTTCTCCTTAGACTCAGTCCACTGGTAGCCCTACTTCTTCATCCATTCTACCTCTAGAGTGATGTGCTTCTCGGACCCACTGGATATCTCCTCGCCAAATGTCCTCAAGATCCTCTTGTCATGGCAGCAACTCTCCTTGGAAGCAACATGGATCCTGTACTTCCCCTTAGCTTGCATACAGAACAAGGTCTTCATCTTGGCCTTCAGCTTCTTAGCCCATGAGGGCTCAGTAGAGGGAGGAGCATACCCAGCAGAGTTGTCCTCATCCGCTTCCTCCTCCTCAAGCTCATCCTCATCAACGTCCATCTGAGCAGCCGCTGCCTCAGCACGGGTAGTGGTGTTAGCCCACTGAGGCTTGACGCGGAGCTTGATGGGCTCATGACGGGTCCAGTCGGGGGCCTCAAACTCAACATTGGGATAGAGCTTTTCCCAAGTCTTCGAGATCAGGTGAAACAAGTAAGGACCATAGATGGGTACCTTACGGTTGAACACCGCAAACCGTAGCTCACACTACATGATATGTGAGACATCAAGTGGTTGCGTCTAACACGACGCGCCTCCTCACAGATGAGCATCATATCCATGAGATAGGCATGTACCTTATCCTTGTCACCAATACATGGGAAGAAGGTGTTGCGGAAGATCCGATACATGATGTCAAGGAATGGGTTCAGCACCCACGCCTTCTTGCCACTGGGAAGCTGCTTCTCAACATAGTATGGCTGAAGCTTGTTCTTGTTGGCGGACTCAGAGTTGGCATGAGGGCGAACACCAATGGGCTTGTTGAGCCCCTCATCACGAACCTGTAGCAGATCCATGAAGTCCTTCCACTTGGGGGTCAGTTGTTGTCCATTTGTCATCCACGTCAAGGTATGTTCCTCATCAGTATGGAAGTGGACCGAGGCAGAGAACTGAGCCACAATCTCAGGGTCAAAGTCCAGGTGGAACGTGATCAAGTCATCAATGCCAAACTGGTCCACTAGGTCCAAAGCCTCACCAAAATAGGCATGGTGCTTATCCTGCCTCATATGATGCATGTCAATCCAGTGCACGTCCACGTAGATGTTCTGCTTGGCCTTGATCACATCCAGATAGATAAGATTCTGTTGCTTGGTCCAGAACAACTCATTCCCTCTGAAGTTTGCATGGGGATTCACATAGGGGTTGATCTTCCTTCGAGCGATAAACTCATCTAGTGGCATCTCATCCATGCATATTGTCGGCTCCTTGGTCTTGGTTGCGGTTGACTTGGTTTTGCGTTGGGGGCATTGGATCCCTCTGGAGCCTCATCTTGGTTGCGCAGACGCTTCGAGCTCGTGTCGTGAACGGGGTTCGAACGACGGACATTGGAACCGGAGCCACCACCTATGACACACAACATAAGAACATGCAAGAGAAGCGAGAAGGATCAATGCAAAGACCACAGCAAAACAAATGAAACAAGTAGAAACAACATTGGGTAGTTTCTATAGGGAAGGTTCGAACTCAATGGTAGTACCGCACAAGTGTGCGGAACTAAACTTTTACTGTTGTTCCAGTTGCGGTAGTACCGCGCCGGGATGGCATGGTAGTACCGTGCATGGAGCGGAAGTAAAAT